ACTGTTTGTCTGGTTATGCTGGTTTGTGATGACAACTACTACCATACCATATACAGGTAATCAATTTCCTTTTTTTGTTGCTCAACAATAAATGTGTACCGTATTCTTCTTCATGGAAAAATAAGACATTCCTTGAAAATAAGACCTAGCGCATCTTTGGGAGCAAAATATTAATATGAGACACTGTCTTATTTTCGGGGAAACAAGGTAGTTACTCTCATTCACTGCTGGTGGTCCTGTGCAGCCAACTGCACAGGTATTTGCAGCCATTATGGAAATCTATATGACAATGCCTAAAACAAATGCAAATTGAGCTACCACATGACCCAGTAATCCCCCTACTAGGCATATAGACAGAAGAAGTAAGAAACAGTCCACAGCCACTAATCTGCACTCCAATGTTCATCGTGGCACAGTTCACAATCACAAAGGATTGGAAACAGCCTAAATTTCCATCAATTGACGGATGGATGAAAAAAACTGTGGTATATACATCCAATGGAGTACTATGCACCCCTAAAAAGCAGCAATGGATGCATGAAGCACATCAACACATTAGGAAGAGTTGGAGCAAATTATGCTAAGCGAAGGAAGTCAAGCACAAAAGGACAAATATAACATGATTCCACTGAGGTAAGCTTAAAAAGCACAAGGGACATAGAGGAAAAGCCACCAAGTGCATAAATTCCTGTGGTGAGGTCTTGGCACTCTAGCAGGCGTCGGACCCAACGTAGGGATGCATGTGGCAGCCAACTAAAAAGGCAGGGGCGGAAAGAGTGAAAAAAGGGGAAGATGTGGATAGTGGGGACACAGGACACTAACCCACACAAAGGGAGGGTATTTTTCATGTCTCAGCAGGAAAGCAAGAAAGGGACCAGACTTTAACCTGAGGCACCCTGCCTCAATGGTCACACACCAACAGGAAGCAGCGAACTAATAGGGTGATCTGTGGGGCCTGCTCCATTCCCAGCATGTAGCGCCCCTTCCCAGAAGAATGCACTACAGAGCACAGCATTGAAGACACAGCCCTGGGGAGAGTGGTGGGTCTGCCCACCAAGACCACACAAAAGTAAACTAAGAGAGGGAGAAGGACAGAGAAAGTGGACTGTGACCTGGCCCACCAAGCCTTGAGGATGAGATTCCTGCTCGGAGAGCAGCCAATGCACAGAGAAGATCATGGGGCTGACCCCACCACGAGAAACAACGCCCCCTCACTGACTCACAGGGCCTCAAGGGACAGCATTGGATACACAGAATGGGAAGTTTGCCTGGTTTGAAACCCCACTTTCCCCCCACCCTCCCCCATACACAGCTGAGCAAAACATGAAGGGATCACAGCAGAACAGCTAGGGGAGCAAAACAATAAAGTATCCCAGGAATCCTGAAAATAGACTTCGGATTCAGTCGGCCAGGTGTGACACCTCACTAGGTCAGATTGGAAAACATTCAGAAGGGTCAGCAGAAAGACCTGGAACTATTTATAGGTGTTTGTTTTATTGTTTGTTCTCTTTTTTCCCTTTTTCTTACAGTTTTCTTATTCTCTTTCTCATATATATCTATATAGGATAGGCAGGATAACTGATCCCGAGGAGCAAACAATGGGGCTGACAGCTGGGGGTGGGGGGTGGGGGTCTATGGGAGAGGAGGAGGTGGGAGAAAGGGAGGAGGGAGCCAATAAACCCAAAGACACAAGAGAACAATGCGAGACCCAAAATTGAAGTTAATGAGGGCGTAGAATGCCTGATGGGGTTTGATCAAGAGCAATGTAGGCGAGAGAAAGTACTGAGTGTCGAGGGGAGGTCGAACATGATAGTGGGACAGGAGGAAAGTAAAACTAAATAGAAGAAAGCACTAGGAGCCAAAAGACATTTATAGTGTTATAAATAATATAGGCATTCATATGTGTAAATACATTAATATATAATGATAGGGATATAGGTCTATGTATTAAAGTAGCAGATACGCATTGGGTCTCTGCTCAAGTACTCCCTCAAAGCAAGAACACTTTGTTCTAATAACCTGGCATGCTGTGATGTTCACCTTCAGGACATGATCGTTGAAGTCATAATGTGTGGATAAACAATGTGATGAAGAAAGCTGATGGTGCCCAGCTATTAAAAGATATAGCATCTGGGGTCTTAACTGTTTAAAGCTAAACCAGCAGCCATCTAGCAGGGAAGCAACACAGCCCACATAGAAGAAACACAATAGCCTGTGTGATCACGAGGTGTTGAAGGGATTAGGTATCAGGCATCAGAAGACCCAAACAAACAAATTTATTGATGCAAATGATGGGGGTTGGATTGGAGACCCAAAGCCCACCTGAAGATAATTGGACATTCCCTCACAGAAGCGTCACAAGGAAGAAATGAGCCAGTCAGGGTGCAGGGTGTATGAAACATACAACATTGCTCTAGTTCTTTAATGCTCTCCCCGACCCCCGCCACCTCCACTATCATGACCCCAGTTCTTCCTTGCAAATCTGGCTAGACTGGAGCATGTACACTGGCACAGATAAGAATTCTTGACCCACGGAATCCTGTCCCCTCATGAACAGCAATGAGAGTAGTGATACTATGGAGTAGGGGGAAGGTGGTGGTAGAAGGGAGAGAAACAAGGAATCCACTAATATGACTGATGTATAATTCTCACATCTCTCCCCAGGGGGACGAACAATAGTAACGTGGGTGAAGGGAGACAGTGGGAGGTGTAAGATATGAAAATAATAATTATTTATAATTTATCAGGGGCTCATTAGGGTGGGAGGGTGGCAGATGGAGAGAAAAAAGGAGCTGATACCAAGTGCTCAAATAGAAAGAAAATATTTTGAAAATGATGATGGCAACATATGTACAAATGTGCTTTTGATACAATTGATGTATGGCTTATTACAAGAGCTGTAAGTGACCACAATGAAATGACTTATAAAAAAGGAAGATATGATTAAATGCTTCAGAGTACTCAATATGCATAGTAATTTTACTATATGAAGATTTCAGGAATGAGAGCATTGAATGAGTGAATATTGAAGCGGCTTTATTCAACCAGAGCCAGGGAACTTCTTATGCTTTGTGAATACACATACATGCATGTAACTGTCCATGACAGTGCACTGGATGTTTAGAAAACAAGGATTTCTCAAAAAGGAATACTCAAATAGTAAGGAGGCACTGTAACTCTAAAGTAAACAGGGATAACATTTGAATCTGCTGTTTCTTCCATATTAAAAGGTTTATCTCCCTAACCCTGTGTCTTCATTAACACCACATTTACAAGGTCATAAATCAATGCAAACAAGTCATTAACTTCATTCTTTTCCATCTTTGTAATCAGCGAGGCATATTTTATTCATTCAAAACACAAACACACACCCCCCAACACTTTAGCTAGTACAATTTTTGTATTCATGATTTAGAGTGAGGATTAGATCAATCATAGTCTGCTTAAACTTAGGTAGTACAATGACCAGAGGGGGGAAAGTTGAGGATTCCTATTCCCGTAGTTACGGTATCAGAACCCCCAGGGGTAGTTCCATCCGATCCTCTAGGGTCTTTGTGAGTCGGCATTGACTTGATGGCGGTGAGAATATTCAAGAAATAAGTGTTTGGCGGTGGAGAGAGCAGTTTGAAGGAGTAGCTTGAAGTGTGGTAGAGTAGGAAAGAGAAGTAGTTTTAGCTATGTCAACATGAGGTACTTTTATACCGTAGAGAAAAGAACTACACAGTATCCAGTGAAAGAGTAAACAGAACAACAACAACAACAACATGCTGTAGCTTTTTCATGTGGTGCAGATTTAGGTGTCTGAATTTTGTAACGTTGCCCTTAGACAATAATTGGTTAGTCAATCAGTATAGTAATTCTATTCCTTATATCTTTTAAGGCGTATTAAAGTAGTTATAGGATATTTGGAACCAGCAAGCTTTGGGGCACATCTCCGCTCTTCACTCATATTCTTAAACCAAATATTCTCTGTTGCCTTTCTTTCCAACAGACTCCTCAATCCACGGCCTCTGGTTTTGCCTCTTTCACTGAAGCTCTTCATTAAATACTAGGAGCCGCTTTTATAAAAACCTTGCCTTTTACTTTCATTTTTGCACCTGATTTAAACTTTTAAGTTGTGCTCCAGGAGTGGAGAAATTATGCCGACAACTCTAGTTCTTGCGTTGTTCAGACAAACAAAGAATCCAAGGCTGCCAACATTGGCACTCACTGCCATGGAATCAATGCTGGCTCATAGGGACCTCTGTGGGTTTCCCAGACTGTAACTGTTTATGGGAGTGTAAAACCCAGTCTTTCTCCCGTGTAGCTGTTGGTGGCTTTGAATCCCACCTATGCAGATCACAGTGCAACATGGAACCACTATACCACCAAATCTCCATAGCATTGACACAGTACTAAGCTTTAGCCCACCCCAGGAGAACCATGAGCCCTGGAGAAAATCATACTTCAGGAAGCAAGTATAAAGAGAAGTCTCTATAAGATAAAGAGACTCAACAAAAGGCAGTAGAAAAAGATAGTGCCACAGCATGAAGCCTAAGGGCCGAGTGAGCGTCAACAGAGAAGTGTTACGTCTAATACAGTCAATCAGCACAGTGGCCGTGTTTTACTTATTTAACAGATATTTATTATCTATTACTTAATATGTACAATGCCTTTGAACATAGTGAAAATAAAGATTACATTTTTAATTTATCATTAAAAACTGATTAGTTAAAGCATTGTTACATTCATTATTGATCAACACATGAATACCCAATTAGTAGAACTATTCTTGAAGCACCTTGAAGAAAACAGTCTTATGAAGATACGTTTTCAATTTCCATGACTTACCAAGAAAATGCTTTGCCTATGTTAAAATAAAAGTTTATTAATGTTATTTAACAAAATATAAATAAAGTAGGGAGGAAGAATGTTTAATTAACCCAGTCATATCCAAAGATATGCCAAGTAGGATAAGGAATGAAAAGAGGCGATTGAATCGAGCAATCAGTAGATTCTGTTTATTGGGAACTACAGGAAACCAGTTTCAGTAGAAGGCTGGCGAAGGAGAAACAAACAAACAAGTTTGCTGAAACAGAGATGTTGAATGCGATGAGGAAACAGAAACTCTCCGTGTATTTGAGATTCCTCATTTTATGAAAAAAATGTTTTAGCTTGACTCATGTGCTTCTTTATTGCTTCTTTTATCTCTTTATTCCTCAGGCTGTAGATAATGGGGTTAAAGAAGGGGGACACAACTGCAAAGGCGAAAGCAATGACTGTATCCCAGAAGAAGGAGTAGGTGGCAGAGAAGCGTAAATACATGAGAGCCACACTCCCAAAGAATAGCAAAAAAACAGTGAGGTGAGAAACACATGTGGAAAATGCCTTGCGACGGCCTTCGGCCGAACGAATACGTAGGATCACAGCCACAATACCCACGTAGGACACGACTATAAGCATCACGGCTGTAATTATCTCCACCGCATGGACAATATCCACGATCTGAATCATGACAATAGCTTGTGTGTCTGTGCAGGCCAGGCGTAACACGGGGAGGAAGTCACAAAAGATGTGCTCAAGATGGTTAGAACCACAAAACGGCAGCGTGGAGATCCAGGCGATCTCAGGAAGGGGTGTAAGAAAGCCACAGACACAGCAACTCAAAGTCAGTTGAGCACAAAGCTTGGGGGTCATGATGGTGGGGTAATGAAGAGGGGTGCAAATGGCCAGATAGCGGTCAAAGGCCATGGCCGTCAAGAGACCAACCTCACTGATGCCCGTGGAATGGAAGAAATACATCTGCAGCATGCAGCCGTTTAAGGAAATGCTTCTCCTCTCACTAAGCAGACTGGATAGCATCTTTGGGATTGTGGCTGTGGTGTACCAAATCTCCATGAAAGACAGCGCACTGATAAATAGGTACATGGGTGTATGCAAGTGTGTATTCAACTGGACTACTGTCATGATGACCAGGTTTCCGACAACAATGAAAGCATAGATGATGAGCAGTGGTACGAAGCAGAGGACTGACTTTCCCCAGGCACAAGGGAAAGCTGAGAAGATAAACTCCTGAGCAGTTGTGTGATTGGAAACGAGGATCTCCGCTGCCATAGTCGCAAGCCTTTTAGGTTGTGTCTACCATGGAGCAATCAGTAAAACCACTTACCAACTTCCAGTTTCTGGTTAGCCCTCTGTATTGGGGATGGAGAGGAAAACAAAAGTGCATCTATAGATGATAACAAGTAAACTTGTATTGTGGAAAACACCAATCAGAAAGCATAGCTGAGCTTTTAGACCAATAGTTTTAGTCTTCAGCATGCATTATAATCACCCAAAGAACGTGTTAAACACACATTTGTAGGCCCTATCTTCAGAGTTTCTAATTCAGCAGGTGTAGGAAGGAGTTCTTTATATCTGATCTCAACAATGACTTAGGAACAAACTATAGGAGAAAGCCTGTAGCAGTACATTTATTTATTTAATGCTTTTTAAATATATACAGAGACCAGATGGGTAGATCTATAGAGACAGTACTGGACGAATGGTTTCTTTGAGATATGGTAAGAGAAGTTGTGGGTGGGGTGTGGAATTAATAACAATAGGTGCAAGAAAGAGGAAAATGTTCTGAAATTGATTTTGGTGATGATTGTTCAGCTATTCCTGATATGGTTGAACTATTGAATTGTATGATATGTGGATTATGTGTCAATAAAAATGTTAAAAAATATATACAACTTATTCCTCCTACAAATAATTTTATTCTGATTCTTCCACATAAGTGGGTTTCAAATATGTTTTATACAAGACTTCTTTGGATAAATGAAACAGTTCATGGAAGTGGAATGTAAGAAATGATAAGACAGAGCTCTTTAATAAAATTTGATGGGGCATGATGATGAGGGGGAGAACAGAATTTTTGTGTGTTGCTTCTATGGGGTACAACTTAAACCTCATGCTTTGTAGGAAATTGTCTTATTCATTTATTACTTTTTCATGTTCTTTTTTTGTCTCCTCTTCACTGATTTCTTCCCTCCTACCAGCAAATGTACACAACTTTCTTAAGCTGGGGACAAGTACCACTAAACCTTTTACTCTGCCATGGTTCTGTCAATACCTCTCCTCCCTAATATGAAATACATATTTATTTTCATAATTTCCTCTTGAATCCTTTCCAACCAATTATGTGTAATGAAAGTTTCTTACTTCTTTTCTTAAGGTCTGTCAATGACTTTCTGATTGCAGCTCCAGCAGTTTTACTCAATGACGACAAAAATCCAGGGAACTATCGTGGAAAGTATCTTTTCCTAGCTTCCTCGACACCACACTGTGCTGTTTTTGTCCTTGTCTTTTCTTGCTTTCACTTCCCAAATCTGGTGAATACTAAATATTCTGGGTGTTTTTTTCTATTCTCATTTCATATCCCCTTACACAGAGATAACAGTCATTCAAGATTAGTTTGCAACTTCTATTGACCTACAGAAGAAAGACTGGGCTTTCTACTCCTGTAAACAGTTCCAGTTCCAGAAACCCACAGAGTCACTATTAGTCAATATTGCCTCGAAAGCAGTGAGTTTCTCTTTTTGTAGTGAGCTTAGCTGGCATCCTGGTGGCATAGTGGTTATGCATTGAGCTGCGATCAGCAGTTCGAAACCACCAGTACCTCAATGGAAAAAGCTGGGGCTTTCTATACTCAGGAGCTTCGAAACTCACAGGGAAGTTCTATCCTCCCCTATAGCATCACAGAGAGTCTGTATTGAGGTGTTTTTTTTTTAATTAGTTTTAAATTCTCATCTATTAATGTGACTTTATAATTCCAAGATTATCTCCTGAGTCCCATATTTTCTGCACAACTCTACCATATGGAATTTTCACTTTGAGTCAAGCTTGTAACCTCCACCTTTGCTCTTAAAACTGACCTAGTTTCAGAAATTTACTCTTTAAATTTTTGTTAATGGTTCTACCTTCCACCTAGATACCGATATTACTCATTCTTATGTTGTGATGATGCATTATTTTCTTAGTCACTAAACCAAATGCAAGATCAAGGTATACTTAATTGATTTAGTTTTCCTTTTGCTACATTACTTTGTTGTTGTCAGGTATTGTCAAGTTGACTTTCAACTCATAGTAATCCCGTCCGACAGCTATCTGTCCTATAGGATTTCCTAGGCTGTCCTATCTGCGGAAACAGATCACCAGGTCTTTGTCCTGCAGAATCACTGGGTGGGTAATGCAGCTGAGCACTTAATTGCAATGCCACCAAGAAAACTCTATACTTCCAATCTTTCTTTCTTGAAGCATCTAGTCTCTCACGGCTACTTTCTTAAGCATGTAACTACCATTTCATACTCTTGCATAGGCGTTACATTTCGTTATTCTCTTCCTCCAAATTGCCCCATTTTAACAGGAAACAGATCTCAAATCTCAGGAATTACTTTTTCCTAAACACTGAAGCAGTAAATAAAAAATGATCCCGTTTTTCTGCCAATAATGGTTATCTTGCATTGTATATGCCTTAAGGAATAACATTGTATTTATATTGGTATGGGTTTTTTAAAATTGATTACGTAATTCAACTTCATCAAACATTTGATTTATTAAATGTTGTACTGAAATTATAGTTGTTATAATTTTTTGTGCCAAACAAACCTTATCACTGGTTGCTATGCTAGCTTGTTAACCAGTCCAGTATAGTAAACCTGCTAGTAGCATACGCACAATTCTTTCCTTATCTGGTTCCTTTTTCTGAGCCTTTCTAAAGGGACTCTCTTCTACCTGGAATATTCTACTTTTGCCTCCCTTCTATTTGTACTGTTTATCCTTACTAAGATTTAAATGTATATTTCTAGTTTTGAAAAGCTAAAAACTAGTATCACCTTTTCCTAATAACTTTGTTTGACACATTCTTGCTCTGACATGTTGATTTTTTTACAAAATATTAATGCATTATTGATGTTTTTACACAGACCTTTCCATATACATACCTCATTCTTCCTGTGAGAGTTGTTGTCGCTAACAGCCGTCACCACGTCTTCTAATCATGACAATCAGATTAAGTTCCACAAATTAAGTAAGGGTGCCAGTTCAAAGATGTTCCTTCTTAGCAGACCCTGTTCTAATTCCCTAGTCTCAAAAAGGGATGTAGTCAAGCCAAAGAAAATATCGGTATGATCCTAACCAAAGAGCTACGTCAGCTCACACACACACAAGAAAAACAACCAAGCAAACACAAAATTCAATTTTGTCCATTGAATACTATTCTATTTTCATTCTCTACCCCCAAAACAGTAATAATAAGTCTAGTGCAAATGTCAATAACATGGAAATACTCCTGAAACTAATAAAAAATATCAGATCTGTATATTGAAGCATTGATTTGGATAGATTTTAGAAATAAACGCATGGTGCTTATTTGTGATTTTAAACAGTCACATGTACTTTGCTCTCTCTGTACCCCGCTACTTCCTGGGAAATTTAATAATTTATACTTTGTACCCCCTTGCCCTCTACTATACTTTTCTAACCCCTGCTTGCTCAAAACCTTCCCAATATCTATTCACGATGTCTACATGCCCACCAGGACTGTGTGCTATTGTTTAGGTGGGTCATTCTCTTTCTGAATACCTCTCATTCCAAAAATTAGTGAATTCACTGACTTGAAGTTGCTGGATTCAAAAGTTGGAATAAACAGGATGAGGACTATATCTCCTTACCCTGATGTGGCTAACAAAAGTTCCTATGACAATTTTTTTTTTAATTTTCTGCTCTGTTTCTACAATGAGTACTTTGTCTAGACTATATTTCCTTCCTATGAAAGCCGTATATAAACATGACTCTCTGTAGATTATTTTTAATAGCTCCCCTAATCCCATCTCCTCCCTTCCATGTACCCTTACCTAAGTATAATTAGAATGGGAAGATAGATTCTCTTGGGAATTCTGCACAAGTAACTCCCAGTAAAGAAGAAAACAACCATTCCCATAATGGCTTCAATTAGGAAGAGGAGTGCAGAACTCCATTTGAAGACATGAGATAGTCTTGACTGCTCAAGGAATTGAGAGAAATAGAAGTATCTTTTGTTGTTGCTCTTATGTTTGATTTACAGAACTACTTACGGGAGGACTGGTTTTTTTTATATTGACATCTTAAATATTGAAAATACATGATTTATGTTTGAGGGCTGTTGATTCAATTCTGTTATTGATACGAGTTACCATTGAATCAGTTCTGATTCATGGTGACTTTTTTTTCAATTCTAAAAGTCTTTATTATACTTATGAATTTCTCATTATTGTTGTTTAGATTTTATCATTAGACCATTTTACACTTAGCCCATTTTATTCTTTTCCTAACTCAGGATCGTCTATTTTTTTGTTATTATCATTTTTTATTAAATGCTTTTATTGGGGGCTCTTACAGCTCTTATCACAATTCATACATACATCCATCGTGTCAAGCACATTGGTACATGTGTTGCCATCATCATTTTCAAAACATTTTCTATCTACTTGAGCCCTTGATATAAGCTCCTCGTTTTTTTCTCTCCTTCCCCCACCCTCCTCCCTCATGAACCTTGATAGATTATAAATTGTTATTTTCATATCTTATGTCATCCACTGTCTCCCTTCACCCATGTTTCTGTTGTTCATTCCCCTGGGAGGGGGTTCAACATGGATCCTTGTGATCGATTACTCTTCCTCCCCCCACCTTACCCTTACTCTTCTGACATCTCTATTTTCATTATTTGTCCTGAGGGGTTTATCTGTGCTGGATTCTCTGTGTTGCGGCCCTTATCTGGAGCAGTGTACACATTCTGGGGTGACCTTATTTATACCAAAAGGAAATGTTGCTCAGTCTTGTGCCATCTTCATGATAATTGACATTTTTAAACATCTTGTGGCTACTACAACTGTGGTAGTTACATAATTTCATGTCAGCTTCAAGATATTTAAAAATGTAGGGGTGGAGTCTAACTTGTCAATTAGTTTACAGTCTGATGGTGACTCCTTGTGGGCATGGCCTTCTCATAAGGAGGGATCTTGGAACCTCCCTTCTGTCTCTCTGCCTTAACCTTGCTGCTGGCTGTCCCAGGTTGTTGCCAGGTAGCTGGA